TTTCAAATTTTGAGGGTAATGTCCCGGCATCGTTTTCAATCGTTTCGGATAATAAAAAAAGATATGATTTTGATGTGTCAGTGCCCCTTTAAGGACACAATGTGGAACATTTTTTCTGCGATCGCACAACCTTTGACCGAGATTTTCTTGTCAGCTGTTATTTATTAACAGATTTGTTTTGGTGGAAAGCACGAAACGTAAACAACCAGTATTAAAAAGAAATATTTTGAAAGAATGATAATATCAATTAATATTTTTTGTTTCAAAGGGGAAAAAATAGGAAAAAGAGCACATTGTTGGTATGTCCTCCACTAAATTTAGACATGTCTGAAATGTTGAGCAAAAAAGATTAAAAACACAATTTGATTAACTTTAATATGCATCAGTGTTTTTAAACGAAACTTGGTAAGTAGCCAGTGGAAGCACATAAAGAAATGGCCTGAACAATTTAAGTTTGTTTTCTTAAAGAGAAACTGAGATATGGGCAAGACAAATTGAAGTTCTATGTCAACCTAGTATTCCACCTTATTCCACCTACGTGAATTCCACCCGATTAGAATCGAGATTAATGGTAAACGAAAAATACCTGGTTCTGAGCGTGCACTGCGAACATCAACCTCAAACATGGTGTGTCCGGTGAGTTATTTCCCGTACCGGGCGCTTTCTGCTACACTGGAAGCAATTCTTCAAGTGTAACGTTTTCGATCGAGGTGGCCGTTATGACACGAATTCACTGGTCATCAGCAATCTAATTCCTTTCATGAGGTCCCTAATTTAGCTTTTTTAGAAGTAATTAGTCTTATAGTGACAGATTTCATAATGAGGGAATTGAGGTCCTTCAAAATAAATCGCACCAGTTGTCAGATTTCAGAAAACTAAATTCGGCTTCGTGCGCCCCATTCACATGTACAAGATAGCGAAAGTGAGGCGAGCAATATACGATGTGCCTCCCCAGAGAGACGTCTCGACACAGAGTTGCCGGCGCATTTTGTTTTTATTTGTTTGTTTGTATATTTTGTATTTATTTGTGTACTTTGTACAGCCTAAATTCAGCACTCAAAAATACCGTCGAACAGATTAAAAAAAAAAAAGGAAAGAAAATAGGGCTCCGATTGCTAAAAGAAAATGTTGGCGAGCTTACTGTCCTGCACAACACGAGACAACGAGTCACAGCGAACAATGGAAGGGTCCCAGCCAACATGAAAGCTCTTGCTCATTGCGCACTAACGTAATTCCCATTTTTCAGGTGAGCTTAGTCATTCGCTGGGATTGTTTTAAATCTCGCCTTGATCGGTTGATTCCGTGTTCTGCGGAAAGGGAACTCGCATATTTTTCTCGCAAGCAGCTTTCCCCTCTCTCTATTCACTTGTGGTGCCAAATGGATGATGTGATGTCGGTGCAAGGAATGTAATGCAAACCTTGCCACCGACGTCACATCAGATCGCAGTCATCGGCTGTCCAAGCATCGGGTTTCAACGCACGAGCACTGATTCACTTCTGCCAAATCGGAGGGGTATAGTCACGGTTGTTGCCGGGAAACAAGCATGCCTCTTTTATTCCTCGAACCTCTATCGATTGGAATCGCATTCTCGCACCCACAGTTCTTATAACCGACACTGCCGATTTTAAAACAGAGTTACTAATGTCTTAACATACGTTCCATTGCATTTGGTTATTGTGTATTTTTGGCTTTCTGCTCATGTTTAATTTGTTTATTTATTGCGATGAAACCGCTGGCCTCTGTGATGCGCGCGGGACCTAAGGAAATAATAAATGAGATGAAATTAAAATAGTGTGCCTCGCGCACTATTTTGTATTATATCGTTATATTATATCTATTATAATATATATTATATGTCTGGCTGAGAACGATATAACTATTATATCGTTCTCAGCAGACATATAGCACGAAATAATTATCTGCGTGATTACTTCATATATGCATGTTTCCGCTTCCAGCACAGACAGTTTTTGCGTGACCAATGTTATACAGGGAAGGCCTCACATAGTGTCTGCAGGCGCTCTTTTGTACGGGGCCTTACGGAGGTCTGTCGTAAACATTCTAGAGGACGACATTGTGACGTCGGTATGTCCTCCAGTTTTTCAAGATTCGCCGTCGGCTTTCGATGCATCTATTTTTAGGAAACATTTTCATCCGATGGAAAAATGACTTACTACCACAAAAAGAATGCACAAGAAAAAAAGAAAAAAGTATATTGTAAACGACTTAACTTCGCGAGGACTTAGTTTTTGCGAATCTCGCGACTTCAAAGCTACTGCGAAAAGGTTCGTCGCGCGAAAATCTAGCCCTCTAGAGTAAAGAATACATTGTAGTATTCTGCAATACGTTGGGATTTGTCACCTGCCAAGCCAGGTGCACAAGCCCTTGAGGCTTGGTCAGCTCAATAATGGGCTTTGTAGAAATGTATATCTGCGGCAAATAGATATGTTCAATTATATTCTGTTTGATATCTCTCAGGATCGAGAACTTTTGTGCCATTGAAATATTTCCTAAGCCCGCACTGCAAACTTCGCGAAATAATGAGCTTGCGAAAATAAGGTAATTTACTGTAAGTGAGGTTTGCTCTCGTCGGGCTTTTCCTTTGATGTATTCAACGCACGGAGCGCGACACTGTTAGCGCGAACAAGCGATCGCTGGTTCTTCCAGTTTTTCTTTTTGAAACCAAGGGATGTCATCCAAGTTATTATTGCTACGGAAAGAGCTCATTTAGTTCTATAATGTAAGCGATAAAATTTCGTGCTCGCTATTACTATTCAGAAGTAAAATGCGAAAATGCGCCGATGTCGTGTTCGCGCTAACAGTGTCGCGATGTGTATACAGTACACCTATTCAGAATTTTAGTGCCATATTGTATGGGATATGACGGGTGCGAATCCCGGATAAAAGCTCACCCACTTTTGTACGGGTCCGGAGAAATGCTCACCAGTATTTTGACTGAACCGGAGGAAAGCTCACCTCGAATTAATTTATTATGTAAAGTGGTCGATTTGATTCAATAGCAGCAGTGCTACCAAGGTTTTAGGCGCCTTTCACGCGGGCGGTACACCGTGCAACTGAGTTAACACGAAACGATTTTTCGAATTAAAGAAGGGGTGGATCAGCGTCAAACTTTTATCACATAAGTTTGTCCCCCGAATGAGCCGTTGCAACTCAAGAAGGTAGGGCGACGGGCCGGGGAGGAGAAAGCAGACGAAACGCTAAAGAGCGAGAAAGGTTACCCTCTCTCTTCTCCAGCGTTCCGTCTGCTTCCTCCTCCCGGCCCGTCTTACCCCCGCCCGTTGAGTTCCGGCAACCACTGAAATATAAGAAAAAGAAAAAGACCATTGTTCGTTTATGCTGGCAGTGTCACGCAGTGTACACACTTCACATAAGGTCGCTTTGTTGTGGCCGAAATAGTAAAAAATAATAATCAAGAAAAGATTAACCCAAATTTGTCAGATCTATCTTAATTAAATCAGTCTAATATCAGTGTAGTTAGAAAATATTGATTATCTATTTCTATATGCGTTTTTAAATACGGCAAGTTGTTCGATCAATTCTTCCAATCAGTGAAAACAATGCAAAAAAGTATAATTGGAATTTCAACAAGTTTTTGTTAATGAAAACCCCGCCATACTAGAAGAAAAACAGCTTAGCTTTTTTTTGTTTACGAAAAAGTTACATTGGTTTTTCTTTTTCGCGACATAATTTTCTCGCAATACGACGTTGCTTTCCAAGTTTTCGTTAGTCTTTTGCGTCCTGATCTGATTGAAAAAAAAAAAAAAAAAAAAAAAAAAAAAGAAAAGATGGGACGTAACTGACGAACTAAGTCGGAGGTAGAAACGAAGCTCAACGCATCGAGTTGCACCGAAGCGCACTGCTTTTTGCTCGTGTTCAGTCGAATATTGATATTTCTTTTGTGTGTTTTCATATTGAAAACATTCAATAATAAACAAACGGAAACAAATTATTGGGGGGGGGGGGGGGGGGGAGTTTGATTTAAATCAATATAGTAAAAACGGTCTGATTTAAGTCACTATTTCAGTCATCTTGATTTTTATTTTTTATTCTGGCTGTAGCCCTAGTTCTGCTTTGATGTCAACCCATTTCGCGTGAGTGTTACCATATTTCATTCTGACGTAGCATATGAAAATGAACGCAAAGCTTACAAGAACTCTACGGACGCTCTAAACTGTAGGCCTATTGATCTACCAAACTTCTCGGACCTTGGCCCGATAAGGAACATCGATGGGCCTAAAAAGCATTGACCACAATAATGGTTTAGGCGGCACCGCTCGAAAGTGAAACTAAGACATATGACAAATATATATTTATTGTTTCAGATTGGTTTACACGAGGACACATTAATATTTTTGGTTCACTAAAATACACGTAGCCAATGAGTCTCTTCGTTGTTCTCTCGCAAGCTTGCAGTGATTGTTGTTGTTAAAGAGAAGAATGTTTAGCGCCGTCGCACAAATGGACCACACAATGCAAGGAAATGGAGTTCAGTAACCCCCCGTGAGAAAAAAAAAAAAAAAAACAACATATTCGTGCACATAAATTTCCTTAAACTTCAAAGTTTACCGCTTGCGCGCGTACATAAAAGAACCAGCTGGAAACAATGAATAAAACGAACCTTCCCCACGCGACGTATACGCGTTGCGAATCTGTTATTGGCAAGCTGCGCGGAAACTCACGCACGTATGACAAACAAAACGAATTCTAAACAATGAAAAAGAAGAAGACGCTGCTGACTGTTTATCACAAGGGATGACCGACGGACAACGCATCGTGTTTTGCTTCCTTCGAGGGACGTCGCGACTGACCCTTCTGTGGCGGTATCCTCGCGAGCACTCAACGCAAATCACGAGGGTATCGTCGAGCACCTGGAGAACAATCAGTCCCCCCACCCCATATCATTTCGATATCTAGAAGAACGTCAGCTCCCGTTATCACGTTTGAGCTATCACCGCTCAAACTCCAAGCATGCCCTGGCAAAAAAAAAAAAAAAAAAAAAAAAAAAAAGTTAGTTGGAGTAGCCGACAAAGCGACCGAAGGGGTGAGCGTCGTTCAAAGTTTCAAGGACGGTTTCGGCCATTCCGAACCCTTTCCATCTGCGCTCCTTTCTCCGCCTTGGGCATTTGGGCAACACCGGCGACACCACAGGCGACACCATCTGCGAAGTTCGTGTTTTGTTGGCGCCAGCGCACGCGCACACCGGCTTCATTCTCACGTGATGGAGGTGAGGAGGTTACGAGTCACGTGATGCTGATCAGCCTCAAAAAGTTGGCACGGGACGGCTGCTGCGGGCAGTTCGCTTCGGGAGTTCGGTTGGAGTCTTTTGTTGGGTGAGTCAGCGTTGGATTTTCGTTTTACAGAGCTTCATCAGAGCCGTCCAGCTACGCGGAATCTGTCATTGACGAATAGAGGCTTTTTGTTGGGGGAACGAAGCATCCTTTTGCTGGCCTGAACGGTTTTCCCGTGCGGGCTGCAGTCTTTGTGGAAGTTTTTAACCATCGAACGTAGATTTGGGAAGTATTTATTAGTGCCTAAATCTCGGGATTTGCGTTGTAGTGGCGGGAAGTTTCGGAATGTTCCATTTGTTTTATTTCGTTGTTTTACTGTGTCTGTCGATCACCGCGTCGTTGCCGGGCCACCTTCTTGCAAAATTGGGAAATGAAAACGATAAACTGCGAGGAGTAGCGCACGGAAAACTGCTTGATTGCATCACTCGCGCGACGCGTTTCTCGGCGTTCTTCACCGTTTTTTTTCTTTTTTTGTTTCCCTTATTTTTGTTGCAAGTTAAACTTTCACAACAACAGCTTTGTGTTTTATTCGAGGCCCGACGATTTCACGATTATTTGTAATGGAAAAATAAAATAAAAACAGACTCGGGTCGACTAGTTTCCTGTTTGTTGCGTGTCCTACGCTAATTTTGTTGTTTTTCTCTTTTACAGAGTGTTAACCAATTGTGCAGGTCATGCTGCGGTGCCTCGTGCTGTGTCTCGTCGCTGCTGCCGCCGCTGCGGTCAGCTACCAGGAAGTTCTTGGCGCTGAATGGTCGGCTTTCAAGGCAAAGCATGGTGAGCAACCGACTAGCAACTTCTAGTTGTAGGAATTATGGTCTGAGGTTGGGGAGGCTGTTGTGGAAACCCAGGCAACTAACACTTTGTGTCTAAGCGTTAACGGTTGCCGTAGGTTTTGTGTGTGACAGCCATATACTCTGCTTATTTGCACACAAAATCTCCATTTCCTTTTCCTCTACGTAAAACCTCTCTGATGGATATTAGTAGAAATTGTGTGCTTGACCATCTTGAGAGTTGAGAACTTAACTGTAAACAATTAATTTGGGTACGCTACGTTTTGTATACCCTGTTCCACCTTATGATAGACTGCAGCGGATGCTTCAAGCCAATCCAGCGAATCCAGCACTGTCAGCATATCATAGGCCCAGTCGCATAGTTTTTTTCGGGGGTTGCCGAGGTGGCTGGATGTCCATGACTTGAGCTGCGGGACATGGGGCGGAGGAGGAAATGATGGATAGAAATGCATGTGCATAGTAGAGAGTTGGCTGAATTTTGGGGCGGGCTGCAGCCCCATAAGTCTCTCCCCTGGCTGAGTCACTGCACACATCTTATCTTATCTGCGTTGTGTGTTGCTGTGCCCCTCCTGAAGGTCATGTGACACAGACAGCATTAGATTGGTTTCGATGGCTCATAGCACCCGCTGGGGTCCATCGTTAGGTAAAGTGAAGTATATATCAGGTTTCAGGAGAAATTGGAATACATTTTAGCGCTCAAAAAACGGGGACAAAGAGGCGAGAAACAGACAGCACAGTGCGCTTCTGGAGAAAATTATTTTCAGGAGAAAATAAGAAAAGCATTCGGAGGTTAGATTTTTGTTCATTTGGGTGTGTTTGAAATGTGGATATTCGAAAATCATAGTGGCACACAAAAAAGAAGGAAAAAAAAAAAATAACCTGGGAGTTTTTAGTTTTAGTAAGTAAAATGCTGGGTTAGTGCAAGGAGAGACCATTCCATTCCCCTTGTTAAAGAGATGCTGAACCGAAGTCTGCATTTCACAAAACGCGGCGGCAAAAGTATGCAACGGGATGCTACAAACACCAAAACATCGCTCATACAGCATATATCTTGAATGGATGATCATATTTTTAAAAAAAAAGCAGGCACATTTGACAAATATGTTTGTCTTGTTTCTCCGAGAAGGAGAGGGAACGGCCTCGCGTCTTCTCCGCCTCGCTGCCTTGAGCGGGTGAAGCGAAGGGTGGAGGAAGCAAGATATTTTAACGTCGCGCCTCGTCGGCCTCGTTCAATCTCAACCTTTTTTTTTCAAAAATGCAGCCGTCCATTCGAGATATCGCCTTACAAGTAGTGTTGTAGGGATTGCTGCATCCCGCCTACATCTCCTGCATTGTCTTTTTTTTGTTAATCCGAATTTCTGTTCACCATTCCTTTAACCTGACAATTATCAAAGGGCCATTTATCATGAACATCCATTCACTTGTAAAGCACAGCTGGCTGAGGTTCCTTCTTTTCTAAGTTATCGTAGAAGCCACTCTAGAGATGGCATTGTGTTAGCCACTGTTCCGGTGTCGGGCTTACACTAAACACCATTTGGGCATCTTTCTGAGAGGAGGAGGAGGAGGAGGAGGCAGTGTTCTTATTACGTGGGCATCATATGCCACAGGTTTCATACATGTTCACAATTATAATGGCTTCCTTTGTCGTTTGATGTGATTGTGTGTGGATTTTCTTTCTTTATTGCAAAAGGTAAAGAATCAGCAAAATAGGATAATTAAACTCTTATAAATAGCAAATTAAAAAAAAATGTACAAAAGCAATAAACTTAGAATTTGATTGAGCACAAACTCTGAAAACGCAGTACGCTTCTTGCATTGCATGTCGAGTGCTAATGTTAATCCACTGATGGCACTCAATGGCACATGTGCTCCAAAAAATGCAAACTGCAATATCACAATGAGAAGATGCTTGGTGTTGATGTCCACTTATTTTTTGAGCATGTTCACTGCTATTGGGTAAGTTCTCTATTAACAGGTTGTCATTGCCACTTGACATGCACTGTAAGTAGACCACTGCTTTTTTTCTTCTAATCTAACTCAACCTTTTCATGAACCAAGCTTTTGCATCTACTTTCCAACACAGTATGCAGACTGCCATTCATTGCAATGATGATACAGAGATCACATTAGACCCACTACTGCATTCATGAGCTATATGCTGAGGACGTGAATTCCATACTCAGCATCTTGTGCAGGTCTCTGATTCTTGTCCCTGCATGTTCTCTCAACATCTTCATTTGGTCTTCTCCTTTTTGATAAACCCAAATAATTGTAACATTTGTTGTTCTTTGTTCAAAGGAAGATTCATAGGTTTTGTTGGTAGAGAGACTGCATTTGGCACATCAAGATGAGACAGGGCTAACCGAAGACACAGATCTGTTTTCTCCAATTCGCTGAGAAAAGTTCCCCAGGCAAATTTTCAAGCATGTGTTTAAAAATTTGCAAAACAGCACCACCACCAGTGCCTTCCATGTCCAACAAAGATTAACAGATTGGTTCTCTAACTCTGCATTTGTTATATACTTCTGTGATTTCGCGTAATGTGCTCAGCACTTGACTTGTTTCATTTATTTCACTTCCAGGATTTTGACTTGCGAGTTTTCCTCTTTTTATGCAAGTCAGCAATGATGCAATCTATCTTTTTTCTTTTTCATTTGCAGGCAAGTCTTATTTGTCTGAAACTGAAGAAGTGTTCAGGCTAAAGATCTACATGGAGAACAGGCACAAGATTGCCAAGCACAACGAGAAGTATGCCAGGGGGGAGGTGCCCTACAGCATGGCCATGAACGAGTTTGGAGACATGGTGAGTTTTTTTTTGGAAAGCATTAACTTTTCTATGGAGCGAGCCGACATCGTCAGTTTGAAGCGCAAAAACGGCCCGGCCCCTTAAATCCTTTCTCCAAATGTAGCCAGCTCCCAGCTATGAAATCGTGCGAAAAGCCTAGACACGGCATCTAGTTCCCCCAATCCCAAAGCGAAGCAAAGCTGATGAATTTTCGGCTTCAGTCCCATTGGCTGGCGCATGTCGACGAGGCTTTCATTGGCCGCTGTGCGTCAGTTTGAACGATCGCTCACCCGATGGCGCTGCATGTCCGCGAGGCGAAGGGCTGCGTGCGTGCTTTCGCATTCACAACTTGTAAGAAGTGCTTAGGTGTACCTCTAGCCCTTTAAAATTCTTGTTTAGACAAGCCCAAGACTTAAGATATCTCGTATGTCTGCGGCAAGATGTTAAGTACAGACTAAGAATGTTAAATGACTAAGAATATAAACTACTGTAACCAATTTAATTTTTTGAAGGACCTAATTTTGATACTTGAATGATATTGAGAAAACATTATCATGGAATTTGATCTCAGTCGCAGAAGTTTGTGCTTAAAAGTATTCCAGGAACCCACACTTCACAAATTGAGGACTCTTGAGCAGCCCATAAAAATGGAGGTTGTGTCAGTATTCATTTGGAAAGAGCTAATTGTCCCGAAAATAAGTTTGTGGGCAGAACTAAGTTTAGCAGTTTGCGGTTAGGTCCTACACAGAATCGTAAGCTTGCCATAAAATGTTGAAGGTGCTTGTTCTGTCATTTTTAATTGAATAATATAATGTGCAACACCACAAATAGCATCCGAAAGTCAAGTTCGGGATTTTTACATGCCAAACCAATGAAGGGCGCCTGGCGCACCCCAGCAGAGGACTGAGGGTTAATTTCGACCACCTGGGTACCTTTTGACGTTAACTGAAATATACGCAATAAGCCTCCGTCAGATTGTGGGCACTTCGGCCGGGATTCTATCTTGCCACCTGGGGATCTGTAGGCCTGCGCTTTGCCTCAAAGCTACTGATTTAGTTACAAATAGCATTCCAAAGAAAGTAATGAGTACACTAACTCAAATGCCTCCCAAGTCTTTTTCTTTTTTTAATTATTTTTTGTTTTGTGTAGCCAAAGTGCCTCTTTATTCCAAGCGTTTTGGTGCACAACGTTTTGAGCCCAACTTATGAGAGAGTTGCGCCGCATTGCAGATGAATTCCCGATTCTTTTTGCGAGCTTGGAAGTATTGAGCTTTTCTCTGACCTGTGTTTTGTCGCTGGCTCTTTAAACGGGACTCGTGGACTTCTTAAATTCAGTCTCTGGAGGTACCCTTAGCACGAGCAGCACGGTTTGTGACTGTCTTCTCTGCCCCATCCACACAGCTTCACCACGAATTTGTGAGTACCCGCAATGGCTTCAAGCGAAACTACAAGGATCAGCCCAGGGAGGGATCTACATACCTTGAGCCAGAAAACATTGAGGACTTCAGCCTGCCCAAGACCGTGGACTGGAGGACCAAGGGTGCAGTCACGCCTGTCAAGAACCAGGGGCAGTGTGGATCCTGCTGGGCCTTCAGTGCTGTGAGCATCATTATCACTTTTGATGGGAACTGGCTTTTGCCGCACAGTGTAGCCGATGGCCTTGCTGCATACATGCCATCAGCCGTAAAAAGTCCTGAATATATCAGTAATCATATCCATTACTAAATACATGTTTTTGCTTGCTTATCCTTTCTGCCCACACAAGGCCCTTTTAATTGGGCGCAGCTGATGAGTGATTTTAGCTGTGAAAGTTTTTAGGTTCTTGTGCAGTGCTCGTTGCCTTGAGGAGGTTATGAAAATTGTCGAGAGATAAGTAAAAGTCGGCTGGGCGAAATTCATTGGCCCCTTACCTTTTCTTTCGATGCTGTTTCCTTTACAGTGATCTTGGAAATGATTTTAGTTGGTGGCCAACTGATTTTTCGGACTTAGCAGGGACCAAAACGACGTCCAAACAATAGAGCAGTCTGAAAAACCAGCAGATTTAAAAACTTGTCTTTATTACGTCTAAAAGGGCTTAAAAAAACGTCAATAGTGCCTTGCTTCAGGTTACGCCTGCACGCCTTGTTTTGGGTTATTCCTCAGTTTGTGTTTGGCCACTTTTTATTAGCTTGAGAATCGCTACCACCTTTTCTAGCATTGTGGTCGAGTACTTTCTGCGCTTCTTAGTGACACTTCGCAGCGGTGGAAGAACAAATGGGGAGTCATGATGTCCAAGCCAGCGTAGTCCGAAAACATATTCGCAGAGACGAGATGAGAGGCACAAGGTCCATGACTGCAGAATGGCAAATGAACAGAGCTAAATGGCAACGATGATGATGATAATGACTCGCAGCTAGAAAAAAAAAAAAAGCCGTAGCATAGCTTCAGCTAGCAACAGGGTACTCAAGTAGCACTGCCAAACCAAATAAATCCATGTGCAGCCGACATAGAATCTAACATGGCTTCTCGGTGGTGTTTCCCGCCGATTGCCTGCAACGATTTTGTCCGAAAAATCTAACCTTCAGATTTAAGCTGTCTGAAATATTGGTCGTGAATATGCACTATTTATATCGGGTAGGCCACGGTTCCTCCTTTGGGTCCAAAATATCAAACGAGTCATAATCATCAGCATCAGAAAAATTGGTTGGCAACTGTACAAGGACTTTTTTGAAGTTGTAGTGTTCCTGTAATACTTGGCACAGCCATTTTGAGGGACTGACAGCATGCATATATTTCCTGCCAAAACCTGGCTTTGTAGAAGTTTTGCAGTATTGAACATTATAATGAAACTCTCACATATGATGTTTTTTGCTGACATACATATTCTCATTGCACTATTTAGAGGTAATTTGTATTGTTTCGTGCCAAGAAGCTGTTGCTTGATGGCTGTGCGAGGCCAAAGGGTAATTCTTTTTCTTTGTCCATTGGCATTTTTATGAAGGCAGCTATAGACATTTGAAGACAGTCTTAACTCTAGCCAGGACATCTGGGACCTTGAAATCCAGGAATTGTGACCTAGTGTAGGCCCTTCTTTCCCTCTGAACGAGTCTGAAGAATTTGGGAACACAGTTGGGAAAACCAGAAACATTCTGAATTGTGAATATGGTAGATGTCCCGCTAGCAAATCATACCTTGTAAGGCTGATTTACTCATGTGTTGCAAATCAGGTTTGTTGAATTCGGACCCTAATGAAAGATACTAGGTGTTCCTCGGCATTTCGTGCATGCATCCCACACAAAGACGAGGCATGGTGGTCAGGATTTCAAATGCCGTGTCTGACGATGAGTTGCAGAAAATATTGCAGCAGTTCCAACATACCTTGCATTGTTTCTTTTGCTGCTGTTGTAGACCGGATCCCTGGAAGGACAGCACTTCCGCAAGACTGGCTCCATGGTCTCCCTGAGCGAACAGAACCTGGTCGACTGCTCGGCTGACTTTGGAAACAACGGCTGTGAGGGCGGTCTCATGGACAACGCCTTCAAGTACATCAGGGCCAACAAGGGCATTGACACCGAAAAGAGCTACCCCTACAATGGCACGGTGAGTGTGTGTAATTCAGTGACCAGTGCTCCGTCAATGACTGGTTCATCAAGGCAGCGGGGGCTTATAATGTGTTAGCATTAGAGCCCTAGTACATTCTGACCTCGGGCTGGTTTGGAGTATCCAAAGTTTGCAACGTCGCCATGAGATGGCTCTGTAGTGTCGTTTGTGTGTTGCCGAGGGAGACGACCGGGTAACGAACCAAAACTCAAAACTTTATTTTACGTCGTAAGCCTCGTGCGTCTGATCTCCGACGCACCGCCATGCATTCTCCCCCTCCGTCACCCCCTCGCCTTTGGGGCTCTTCTCACACATACCGGACAGCGGGGATGTGGCGCCATCTGGTTTCTAGACACCACAGGCTCCACAGCCCCTCTGTATCTGCAAACTGGCTAGGAAGCCCTTTCTGCAAGCGCTGACAGATGGTGGCAGTGTGCATATTTTGAAAGGCTAGGCATAGCAACGGAGGCTGCACTGGATTGGCTGGTTATAGGGAGTGACGCCATGACGTATTGCGTAGCAACCAGAGGTTGCCAACGATGTCCCATTTCGCTGCTTAGTGGGGGACGGCGGGTGTATCACTGGGGTGCGTGTTCTTCCCTGGCTCATTACAAAGTAATAACCTACCTTGACCCGCCCGCACACGCCACTTTGCAGTGCCCCCGCTGGTGTTCCAAGTACACCGCAGGCTGCAGTTCCGTTCCTCGGCCTGCCATGCCATTCTTGGCGCGCAGTCATCTCGTCGTGTCACCGGGCTGTAAGCCCATAGTGTCGTCGCACCTGTATGGGCAGCAACAGAATGGCTATATCATTTTCTGCGCGTCACATGCACGTCCTTCATGTACACGTTGAGTGACCTGATCTGCTTTCACCAGGGAGAAGAGAAAAGTAATGTGTCATCCTTCCTGGAAGGACGGTTGTTTTCCTAGTCCCTGTCGTCTCTCCCGGGTTTCGATCAGGACCGGGCGACCGTGGAATACTGTGCAGTGCTGTAGAGTCTGCCGTTTTTGGCAATCAGGAACTGAATGACTCATGATGGTCGTTTTGATAAATATATTTACACTGGAGAGCGAATATCATACAGGGGCTGTCACTATGCTGCTGTCGCTCGCGTGCAGCCTAACGCCAACAATAGTGCCTCGGCGCCAGGTCCCTTTCCACGCAGGGCAAGTTCTTTGTCCCGCAAGACAGCATAACGTGGGGCCCTCGGGCTCCGCATTAGTCTGTTGCCGAGAATTGCTATCCGCACGGGTCTAAACGGTTATGAGCTTGTCATGGCCACATGCCGCTCATACTTTGGACACGAGTGCTAAATCACCGATTGGCTTTCACTTGGCAGCAATTGATTAATTGTCAGATATTTGGGTTTGCATATGTGACCATTCAGTGCAATGATGAAAATCAACAAGCTCTTAAGAGTCTCTGGATAACTGCACATGCTTCAAGGATTCCAAACTCTTGTGCATGGCCACAATTAAAATTGCTGGTGCCAGCGAAATAACATCTGAAACCGACGTTCCTGCTAAAATCTAGAAGAAAATCTAGCACTGCTAGAATTTCTTTGTTGCTTTTTCTAGCACACATAGCTAGAAAAAAAAACACCTCCTACGTATTATGTAAGTCGGAGATTATATCTGCACAGTATTTAGACGAAGGAGAGGTCTTAGTGGTCCCTTTAACACTTCTAAGTTGCGAGCTATACTCGTTTTCACCTAAAAGAAAAAGGCAAGTTTTGTGCATTTTTCCTACGTGGCACGAAGTAGTTCGTACGAGATTTTCTTGTTGTCGTAGGAAAAAGTAATGCCTTTGTCCTTTAGAATGTGTATGTCTTAATAAGATAATAAATATCTACTCTAAAATTCGCCTTTGTATATCTTGATTATTAATGTCATAAGAGAAATTAGTAATATTCCGCGAGGACCCAGACTTTTTTTACCACGGTTCTTGAGGTGAGAACAAGTGGAGTTTCAGTGCACGTTGCAGAATGGCGTTGTACGACGACAAGATTCTGCTATAACAGGTGAAATTTGGTTGCATTATAAACTAAAACAATGTAATTGCGGCCAAGTTAACCCTGTCCTTTTTATTCTTTGTGTCTCACTCGGTTACATTGTACAGGATCGGTGGGCTGAAAAAACCATGCATCACCCAGACTAGAACGTTGTGCTTGAAATTACAGTTTCTGAAACTGTAGTCACTGACAGAATGAGAATGGGAGGGAGGGGATTCAGCACGAGCCTCTTACCTTTGACAATGCTTAGGTGTCTTGTGCACCTCTACTGCACGCATGCAGCAAAAGTGCGGCTAGAGGCATAGAGCGCGTGCTGGAGGCTGGTTGTTCTGAAAACATGCCCTGTCATTCTCACTCTTTCAGTGGCTTGAATATACTTTTGCTACATGCATCATGGTCGCCACGAGTACTACTGGCTTGAGAATGAAGTCTGGCGTTTCTCTTTTCAGGACGGCACTTGCCACTTCAAGAAGAGCACTGTCGGGGCCACTGACAGCGGCTTTGTGGACATCAGGGAAGGCTCGGAGACGCAGCTGAAGAAGGCCGTGGCCACCGTTGGACCCATCTCTGTCGCCATTGATGCCAGCCACGAGTCCTTCCAGTTCTACTCTGACGGTACGCCTTTGGCTAATTGTTACAATCTTTGGGCAAAGTTGGTGTGCTTTACTGTGCTGGTGTGCTTGCCTGCGTGTATTTTGAGAACCCCCATACTAAAACATACTTTCTCTAGTGTTGGGGTTCTCGGTATGCAATCGCACCGGCTCTTGCATACTGGAGGCCGTGCGATTTTAGAGCAACCTGTATGAGCACCTTGATGAGGTTTGGTATTCGCTAAAGCGGTGACTACTCATTGTTGCGAAAACCCGAGGATTGCGCAGAAAGGGACACGCAGGGTGTTTATCCCCTTTCTGGTTTCCTCAGTTTCCAGTTCCAGGGAGTCTTTGATAACATCTCATTGCAATTCTGGTTTTTCCGGAGTTTGTGTTTAGGGTGTGCTTCCGTTGTGCAAGTGTTAAGGGGTGTTCAAACGGGGCACTACAAAACTCACCACTCCGACAAATCGTGAAAATTGAAGCGGACGCTCCCGCTTCAATTTTCACGATTTGTCGGAGTCTTGCGTTTTGTAGTGTCTTGTTTGGACACCTCTTTAGGCTTTCTCATTCTGCACTCTGTAGAAATGCGAAGCAATTTTCGGGCAATAGTTCATTTCGCGTGTATGTCCGCAGTCTTGTAATCAGTCGTGTGAAAGCCAGAGCAACTCTTGCCAGGTGCTTCAATTAACCTTTTGTTGCGTACCTAGCAACCAAGCTGTCGCCCACACAAACCGGGCAGCGCGAGCCATGCTCTCGAGCAAGGGCATGCGCGAGGCAGCGAGCTACTGGGAACTGATCTGGGCGCCATACCGGTCCTGCCCGTTCCGTAGCAATAAAGAATGTGATGAATTTAACACCTTTACGACAGTAAAGGTTCCTATGTGGCTAGCTGCAGCTATTACTTGCTGTCTGTGCAGCTTTTTGATAAGTGTTCTGGTGTCTTTTTTTTTATAAGTGACACGAGTCCTGGCTTATACCAGGCTCCTTTAGCTTGTACAGTAAAAGCTGGATAATTTGAACCTCCTGGGGATGTTAAAAAAAAGTGAAATAAACAAAGCTTGACCTAATGAAAGTCAAAGAAAAATGACTGAATCCTGCACTTAATAAAGGAGTGGGAAATGCCGAAAACTGACAACTTTATTCATGAAAAAATCGGTCATCACCTTCTCATCTTGGAGGGCAACTTTCATCAGCTCATATTCGAGTGTGCGAATGTTGCGGAAGGTGTCTTCACCCTCTTCATAGCTGAAGATGTGCACAATATTGAGCACCTCCATAAACTGCAATGCACTCCGCCGGGCAGGTGTTTCCTTGTCTTCCTCGTCGTTCCTGTCTTCCACAGTGGGTTCTTCACCGGCAACCTGCATGATGATGTCCTCATCTTTTGGGGTACCACACACCAGTGCCTTGCCGTGTGCGTCGACGTAATCGGCAAAACTTGCTTCTCGCAGCACCTCAAGCACATTTTCAGAGACAGCCACGTGCTGTTTCTACTTAAGCTTGATCCCAGGCAGGCACCAGCACGTGCATCGCAGTGGGGAGTGTGCCGAATTAGTTGCTCCAGTTCCTCAAGCAGAAAATCAGCCGTTCAGGCATGTGACTAGAACGACCTCATATTCTTTATGAAACCGTGGTCCGTCGGTTGAACTGTAGTTGTCGTGTTTGGTGGAAGGAAAGCTAATTTAATAGCCTTCAGATCTATGTCAACCTTGTGAGTTCAGCAGTCGTCCACAATGAGCGGGGACTCTTTGATTCCTCAATTTAAACTTTCTGTCCAACTTCCTAAGCGACTGCTTGAACAACTCGCTGGCCATCGACGCCTTGCTGTTAGCTGCGTAGTCTGTCGGCAGGGAGCGGATGTTCCTAAAGCATGGAGGCCTCAGCGACTTTCCTATAACGAAGGGGGGAGCTTCCTCGTCCTCGTCGTGTTTTGCCGCAGCCATGACAGTGACATGCTCTTTGCTCCGCTCGCTACCTGTACACTTGGGCAGAAGCTTGAAAAACAAAGCAGCGTAATCGGCGTTGAAGATGTCATGCGGCGAGTAGCTATGCAAGTTGTCCTGTGGGATTTCACTTTTCCACTTTCACGTCTTCACTTTTTGCCAGACACCGCACAATAGACAAAGTTGTGCCTTTTGCAGAAGCAACGAAACCGCCCTTCGGAAGTGGCAAAGTTGTGGTTGTCCAAACGTACAGCGAACTCGGCAGCCTTTGCCACGATGACGGGGCCGCTCAATGGGAGATTCTGGCTTATCGTATGGTTAACCTGTGTGATGAGGGCTCTTTCTAGTCCAGCTGCTTGGCAGATCCAAGTCCTTTTCTGTGAAAAGCTTCAACCTTGTGGGCGTCTTCGATTGCCTTCTTGTTTCGATTGTACTTTGACAACATGCTCCCGGGGATCTCAAACTTGTTTGCCTTCCCAGTCTTGAGTTTGCGCGGAATTTCTCGTTTTTTCTTCAACGTTTTGACAAGGTGCTTTCCTCGAACAGATGACATTGCGAAGCTGAAGGTAGCGCTGCGGCACAGTTTGCAGTCTGATCTCGATGCATCTTGGACAAATATGCTCGGACCCACACACTAACCGGAGACTTAGAAGAACAAAGAAAACAATAAATGGAGATTACAAAAAAGAAAGCGCAATAGCATGTGGAGCGTTTTCTGCAATTTAATGGACGACAGCTCCCGTGCCGATTGGTTGCAAGTACACATGCACTGCATCGTCGTGTGGCGAGGCGGAAAGCAGGGGGAAAGGTGAAGATGAGCTGGAGATGTTCCCAGACCATCAACGCGTTGGTCGCCTTCTCGCAACTCGTGTTGCAAACGTGGGCCATAAGCCGCGTGACCCTGAATGAGCTGTTGGAAACTATGTAAGTAGCACAGCCTCTCTATACGTGTCGTGATAGCTGTGCCACTTATGACTCAGTTGGATAAGCTGCCACCGGCAGTCCACAAAGCTCACGCATGGCGGCTTCATAGTGCGGCACGCAGTTTGAACAATTATCTATGCCGAAACTATTTTGTGAGCGAATTAATGATTTTTTTTTATATGTAAATCTTTATGCAGCGTGGTCAAACCATAATACTGTTTGTTCAAATTGTATATAAAAAAAAGATTGTGTTAATGAGGTTTGAATTAACAATCTTTCACTGTACTATAGCTCATGTTCTTCCTTGTGGTGGTTCAACTGGTGTTTGTGTCCAACCTTACAGTGGCAGTAAGCACAGTGTCACTAACTCGGTCCAGTTAACAATGTGCATCACACTCAAGGTCTGAGGTCACGGTGGTTTGTTCTCTGACCATCCAGGTGTGTACGACGAGCCGGAGTGCGACAGCGAGTCCCTGGACCATGGTGTTCTTGTGGTTGGTTACGGCACCCTCAACGGCACCGACTACTGGCTCGTCAAGAACAGGTTCGTTGCGAATTATTAGTTTGTTTTGCTTAGTTTGTTTTGCAAATGCTAGGGTATTGCAAGTAATTACATCTCAAAACAAGTGTGGTTTTGTGTGCCCTTTCTTCATTCTGGAAAGGTGTGCACGCATTGTTTTTGCAGTTGGAATTTTTATTAAAATGTAATAGCATTTATTTAGACAGCGGGAGGTTACTCACGCTGTAGTGATACACGGCAGCATGTCTGTACGATGCTCATCTAAATCGAAATGAGCAGGGCGGGATATTCCCAAGATTTCTGGTTTCTGTAGCGTGAACTTTTATGTTAATTTGGGGGAGTTTTTTTTTTTGGGGGGGGGGTTTGCAGATTTGGTGTCTATTTTCGGTTTTAAACAAAAAGTCATTGTTTATGAGGGCTTTTTTTAAACAAAAAGAGGACAAGGGCATGGGATTTCGCAACCGCCAGGGAACATAAGTGTGTCCCGAACACTTGAAAAAGGTCCCGGAACCTATCAGGAAACAGTGTGGTTCTCAAAGAAGAAGCTGCCTCGCAAACATTTCAGTGCAGGCTGTGTTTTTTTTATTTTTTTAAATTATTATCTCAGATTTTAATAAGATTCGAATACACCAAAAGCAGAGTTCCCTACTGATAGTCATTGACAGGTTAAGAGTAAGGCGGAAGCTCCTCCACTTCTTCAGTGTTTGCTCGGCTAAAGTGGAAAGAGGTGGCAAAAGATTCTACTTTCATCTTTCCTTGACATATTTTGTGTTAAGGAAAATTCCACAAACTACTAATGACCGTTGATGAGAGTACTTTGCATTGGCAGGCTGTAAAATTGTTTGATTCTGCTACTTCAATTTTATACTCGCGTGGTGAAAACTTTGGAACGAAATGCGAAACCTGAAGTCATATATGTCTTTGTCTTGTACTTGAATGGACATGGAATGTCTCTTGCTGCAGTACCATTTAGTCAGGGTGTCTAGCGACCGGGAAAACCGGGAATTGTCGGGCAAATTTCAATTACCAGGGAAAAATCAGGGAATTGTCAGGGATATTGTCAAGAAACGAGCCCTGTCAGGGAAATGAGTCGGAAACGCCATTGAGTGCTTTGAGCAAAGATTTGAAAACTTGGGGGCAGAGAAATAGGCAATAAATTCTGCTCGGAGCGGAGCGTGGGCTCTGCTCACCCGATGTAGAGTACTACCTGCCACAAAGCAGAGAGCTACCTGACGCAAAAGGAACAGCCGAGAAATCCAGTCCAAGCTTTGGATTGGATTGGATTGAGGGCGCTACACTAGGCTAGATCTAGTTAGACTACTAGATTTAACAACAAATGGAAAAGCCGCAGACCCTAATCCAATCTAAGCCTTAAGCTGAAAGTATCTGAAAGTTTGCATCTGGCGACCATGCTGCCATTCGGTTATTGCCGTGTGGTTGAGCATAGTGTTTCCGGAAGTGGCCTCTTCACTGACGATGTAGGCGGCAAGAAAGTGCTCGTTTAATCTGAACTCGACAAACCCGAATATTTCGGAATATGCAAGTGGAATTAAGCCAGTGCAAAATTATCCTCGCAGTGCTCAATGCCTTGTGTTGTGAGGGTCTTGTATATTTAACCACCTCTACGGTGGTCAGGGAATTTAACCTGAAATCGTCAGGGAAAACCTGGAAAAGTCGGGGAATCTAGAAATAATAATTTGCTAGACACCCTGTTAATGTTTTGATGCAATAATCATAGCAGATTGTTGGGTGGCACTATGTTCTAACAGCATCTTAAATTTTTCAGTTGGGGAACCACCTGGGGTGATGAGGGCTACATCCGCATGAGCAGGAACAAGAAGAACCAGTGTGGAATCGCCTCCAGTGCTAGCTACCCTCTGGTGTAACCTTCCATATCTGCACTTTCACCCCATTGTCATCACTGTCCTGTTGTGCATTCAATAAACATCTCTGTACAGTGCCCCAGCAGTTCAGTTCGTTGTCTCTTTATTGTATTGGGAACTTGCCTTGAATATGATTGTTTTACTTGCATGAAGAATGATTGCCTCAGTTGAGGTAGGGAACCTGAGACGGGAGCCAAGGAGAAAATGCAGCGGCCAACACAAAGTTGTCTGCGGTTTGGCATTAGCAAATGTCTGTGGGTTGTTCCACATTTGTGCGATAACGCAGAAGTGGTTTTGACTTTTGGTGATGATAACAAGCGAGTGATCCTGGGTCATCTCATAATGCATCATGTTTCTTCAGTTTGTCTGTAGATCTCGCTTCCCTCAATGCCTCCATGTTTTCTAACTGTCGTAAAGTTATCATAATCCTCTAGAGCCGAGAAACATGAGGGTCCCATTTAAGATTATAATGACCCCTGTGGTCTACATTCGTAAAAGTTATAACAAGTTGTAATTTCCACTAGTTCTTTTTTTTACTGCAAAGGTTGGAAGCCCAAGTGTACCTGAAACAGAAGAGAGCTCTCGTGGAATTTTCCCCGCCCAGGCGATAACTTCAGATCGCAGATATAAATAAACGTAGCCCAACACGGATATATATACAAAGTAAAAAAAAAAAAAAAAAAATTAGATTGGTTGCAGTGCCTTGGCGTAAAAAAAAAAAATTTCCTTTAGCATAGTTTCAGAAACTAAAGGTAGGTTCTATCCAGACTTGTGCCTATCTCAAATACTCTACTCAAGATACTGTATCTTAAATACATTTTGAAGTATCTTGGTTACTTGCAAATACTTTTGATCGAGAGTATTTGATACTCTATCTTAATTACAATTCTAAGTATCTTGTACTCATTATCTCAAGTACATTTTTGACATTTCGCTATTTTTCGAGTTTTTCAGTATGAAAAGGCGTGGGCGTGGCACGAGGAGTCGTGAACATTCTTTCGAGCAACCAAATCCTGTTGCTAGCTCCAATAAGCTAAGGTGACTTAGATTAAAGGCCGACGTACAACCTCGGTTTTCTGCAGGGAAGATAATCCTGTTAGCGCTCCCCTCTCTTAATCTGCGAGGAAAGTCAAGTTGGGGCAAGCTTAAAAGTGGAGAGGATATAGGAAAGAAAGGGCGGGCAAAAGTGGAAAGCGCGATGTGTACGTCGGCCTTTAAGCTAGTGAAAAAACGCCTTTGTGCCTCTTGTGATTCATATTTTCACCTCAAAATTCCTACAATGAAGGTTCTCCCCTCGCCTTCCCAGGCGCCTTTTGTTTCGTAGAGTTTCCCCTCGAAAAAAACTAAACGTCAAGATTTTTTTTTTTAGTCAGTTTGGCTTTTATTGCTTTCGCGAACACTGTCTGTAAGCGAACATTGATAAGCAGAGAGCAGGACAGGAAACGGACTACGAGCAGGATGTACTCTCAAAATGCTAACAATGCGTCCCCCAAGCTGAGTGCCTTTCTGAACGCAACCTACTTGAAGAAGGTGCGATCACTGCCGTGGCCATTATATGTGGACTCTCTTTTTTATCCATTCACTTATTTACTTATCCCATGTTCGTTTATAGCAAACTACCCATTAAGGGATGATAGATTGCAGTTAAACGATGCGTCTCCTTTCGCCGCAGGACGTGATATTCAGCGATGTCACAATTGCTGGAGCGACCTTTTTTTTTTCTTTTTTTGTCAGTCCGGCACTTATTGCTGTCGCGAACACTGTCATTAAGCAAACATTGATAAGCAGAGAGCAGTACAGGAAACGAACTACAAGCAGGATGAGCTTTCAAAATGCCAGCAATGCGCCCACCAACGCTAAGCGCCTTCCCCCCCCCCCCCCCCCCCCAAAAAAAAAAAAAATATAAAACGCTTTTAGGCCGCCGCCATGTTGCTGATGCTGATGCGGCTGGTGCGACTCTCGCGCCCTGCGGCTGGTCAGGCGGCTGGTGCGACTCTCGCGCCCTCTATCAGCTAGAAATTTTCTGCCACTCTCTGGGACTGTGAAGACCCGCTCAGCGCGGTTCTCTACCTACGTGTATGCGGTTTTGCGTTCGACGTTTTCTCGCCCCTCTTGAAAGTTTCCACTTAATGTATTTTTTACGTGTGCTGCGTACCCTTTCTGTGTTACCTTCCATCGTGACAAATAAGGCTGGTAAGTGCCCGCCATCCAAGGTTTTCTGCTCGACATTCACGGGAAACGAAGGAGGTGAAGGACGTCGAACGACCCTCGACGCGATTTTGCGAACATTGCTCTCCCCCCTCTTACAAATAATCCGCGTAGGCCCTCAGTCGTCTCCAAAAATAGTTGTCCGGGTTGGGGTGGGAAACGGGTCAGTCGCGTTCGTTCCTTTGCCTTGGTGCGGCTGTGAAAAAAGGAAGCTCTCCCCAAAACGTGCCCCAAAATGAAGTCATCTCGGATTCCGTCCGATCGTCAAGATGTGACTGTCGTCGACTTTGACTGTGTTATTTTAGATCTTTTTCAAATAAATTCTTTTTGGATAACGCTGCATCGTGTGGTACGTACGATATATTGTTCGAATGTTAACACTTCTTCAATTGTAGGTCCGTGTCCTGTCCATCGGTAAACACGTTATTTGTGAGCGTGAAAAATGCATGCTTTTCGGCCCTCTTCTGTTGCAATTTATTTTTGACAGCAAAGTGCTTTGTCGTTTCACATGCGGCGAATCCCGCGGCGCCGTTAAAACTTATCGTAAGAAAAAAAAAAAATAACTAGAGCTGTACATTCCAGTCGCATTCGTTCTGTCGCGCCCGTACCCAATAAAAATAGTTTACAGTTTTTTTTTTTGCTTTTTTTTTTGTTTCTTTAAGTGTGGTACAATGCTTTCTCAGTGACCTCAGGAAAATACATGAACCATGAAACACCAAATATGGCGGGAAAAGACGAGAATTTAGCCGCCAGCAGCGTTTGAAACTGCGCCTACGCAGTTTCAATTTAGCCGCCAGCAGCCTATTGAAATCACAGTCCACTCGGTTAGGGTTAGGACGGACGCCGGTGGGAGTCTAGCCTCAAACTACAGGGCTCGAAAACGGTTTGTCGCCCCTGGGGTAGAATGTTTTTTTTTGGAAAGGTGTACAGGGGGCGCTTTGAAAAACGCGCGTAGCGCCGCTAGCGGAGGGGCTGGCGTTCGACAGTGAGGCGTGTTCAGCAGCCTGCGGCGCCTTTTCGCATGCGAAGCTGTGGCGGCGGAAGCGCGCACGGACGAAACTTTTGCTTTTTGAGCCGATACGTAGAGGGTGATGTTGCATGAGTGCTGGGGCAGAGCAAAGAAGGGCGTCTAGCTGTTCTCCACTTCTTATATATTGAGTTTGAGTCGTTATTATTGGTAAATTCTCTAGTTGCGGCCGAAAAAAAGAGTTGGAGCAATTTTCCGAAGAGCAAGACGGCCGCCACCATAATTGCTCTGAGTGGGAAATTTGTTTCGCTCGTCGCTGTAAAGGGGACGGCTGAAACGATGATATTTGGAGGCGAGTGAGATGTTCACTAAGTTTGTGCACGAAGTGTGTCAAGTTTCATTAAGACAGCGGGTGTGAAAGTTGTGTTTCTAACGAATAAAGAAATAAAGCTGTACGGGATATCCAATATTGGACCCACAATGTTGTGTTATAACCGGGCTGTGCAAACTGCAGATTTGGGCACACAGGTGCTTGGACTTGACAGTAACATGATACAGCACTTATTATACCAAAAAGAGGTGGCATAGGGAAACCAGGTAGAAATTTCGTTAGGGTGGCGTAACTCAATGGTAACCTGCAATTTTGACCATGAAAGCGCTGTCGAGAGAATACCACTCGTCGTGGGAGGTGGAGACTTTACAGGTAGGAAGGGACTAGTGGGTCAGTGTTCCCAATTGAAACAACTTTACGCAAAGTGGTTCTAAAGACGAGAAAACAAAGTTGTCGGCCAATACACGGTTTGGCCGTCAAAGGCTTTTGCGGTCAGCTGTTGTGTAATAACCTGTTGCGCGAAGTGCTGATTTTTGGCACACAGGTACTTTGGCATGGCCATAAGTTGACACACTTAATATACCAAAAAAATGTGGCATAGCAAAACCAAGTGGAAATTTAGTTTGGGCGGCGTAACTAAATGGGAGCAAGTTTTGACCGTCAAAGGCTGTCAAGATAATACCACTCATCGTGGGAGGTGCACACTTTACAGGTTGGAAGGGACCAGTGGACGGTACTTCCAGTTCGAAAAATTTTGTGATAGGTTGCTCTAAAGCCGAGAAAAATAATTGTTGTCCACAGAACTCGGGGTGTCAGCGTTTCTACATCTAAAAGGAAGCTGATAAAAAATGAAAGCACACCACATAAACTTTCATACTCAATCGTCGATTCTCCAGTGATTCCAAATTTCGTTGTAGTTTTCCTTAAATTCATATTTGTCACTTTTTATTTTTACCGTTCGAATCTTTCTACATGAAGTACAGATTGTGTGCCATACTTGTCCGGAAATATCATCGACACGTACGATGGGGACGAAACTTCTTTGGAGGGCATTCCTCCAACGAAATTGGAACTGCATACGCGCGAGTGTGGGATGGCATTTCAGTTCGTCCGATCGGCGCTAACACATGTAGGCGTCACTGGTACGAAAACAAACGCAGAGCGCAAAGCGGCAGTGTAGAATACGTCAGCCGTGCCGACACAGTGGCAGATATGATCGGGAGACTAAATTTCTCGCGTAGTATGACACGGGTCCATCGTTGTCGCTGTCCCACAAAACGTCGGCGAGTTGAAAAACTGTGAAACTTTGTCCCCACAAGATACGACGCATAAATATTGAAGTACTTAACGACGCGGCACCGGCAGCACTTCATGCCGCGAACCGAGCGCAACCGCACCGCTCCGATTTCAATGCGCAGCAACGTACGTGGCGTGGTTTCGGTTTCGGTTTCGGTTTTGTTTTCTCTGGGGTTCTCACTGCCTACCTTCGGTAACGGCCGCGCGGCGGCGCGCGAGTCGGTTCCTTTCACACGCACTGTCACCGTTCGAGTTCTCTCCCAGAATGCATCGCACTCACAGA